ACTTACCTTGCGATTATTTTCCTTTTTACATAGTTCAGATCGGACTTGATTTGGCTGAGATCTGCATCATTTTATTTTTCAAAAAAAATTCTGGTTTTTTTTGTCCCACACTGTAGTTCACAAAGAAAACTAAATATATACTTACTGATCCCAAATAACCTCGCTATTTTTTGATAGTATATTGTTCAAATATATTATCATTAAGCTTTATATTATTAAATTTAAGTTTTAACGTAAATAATTTAACATACTTTCAAAATTCTCATGATTGGATTTTTGCAAAAAGCTTAATAATAGTGGAATTTTGCTAGTAATGTCTTGAATTTGTTCCTTTTGCTGATTATTCATTGTCAGCAAATTGTTGCTATACTGTTTCTACCATTCTTCTATCTCCTCCTGAATGAGCATTATGTTAATATACAGAACATTCACAATATAAGGAAGAAATCTTAATCTTACCTCATTGAAGCCTCCAAATAGCTTGATCTTCAATTCGTTAGTCTGTTTTTTAAAAAGATATAACTTTGATTTATTGTTTGCTGAAGAACTCATTATATAATAATGGTAATTAGTCATCTTATCAAGCTTATATCTAATTTCTTCCTTTCTTTCTAAGTTAATTCCAGTATCATCTTTTTCATCCAAAGTATTCATCTGGTCAACAATGAAATATAATTTATTATCTTTTAAATTTTTACAAAAATTTATGATATCTTCAAAATTTTCACAGGAATTAATTTCGTTTATTTTTACATCACTATCATAGTAGGTAAGAAATAAGGCAGACTTGATATAATCTTCTAGGTCCACAGCCAGTTGGTGACAGTCAGAAAGATATACTACATGTCTTTCCTTTCAGATAAGGAAGCATGCAATTGCTGAAAGGAGATGTGATTTGCCATACCCAACAGTTCCGTAAACAAATAGTTTCATAAATCCAGTATCATATTTAAGTTCGTTTATTTTTTCTAGAATGTTCTTGAATTCCTTTCTTCCCATGAAAGTGAACGAACCATTTTTGTCAATTGCAAATCTTTCTACTGGTTTTTTATCACTAGGATATGGGAACGGTAATGAGAAGGACTTTGCCAGGTTTGAGTAACTGGATTCATTCTCGTCAAGTTTCATTATGTTTTCCATAATTCTATGTGCAATAGAAATTATACTTAGATCTAATAAAATAACCATGTATGTTAAAACGATGATGTTTAATCTTAATTAGACCCCAAAAATTACACATCTGCCAGTTTTGCTCTTTTACTAATTTAATATTTGTCTGAACCTTCCAGTTGTCGCTTTAAACCTTTCTCTGATCGAAAAAGAAATGTAAGAAGTGAGATAACGCGAATTTCTTGTTCGAGAGATAAACCATTGGGAGACATTTACTAGTGATGGTGAGCTGTGACAGTTGGACGATGATGTGGATGATCTTTAGAGGTGGTTGTTGTTAACAGAAGTCTTTTGAAATATCATCTGATGGAATAAGCTTTTGGCCTTTGAGATCTCGTTCAATATCAACTTCTTGAGGTTATTTATCAAGAATACTCAGCTTAGCTTCATTTTTATTAATAGGAATATAAACTTTCCACAATTTAAGATCATTCAGAACGAAATCGTTCAATTGAGGTTTCTTCACCTTCTTAATAGCATTTTGAAGATGCAAAATATTTTTGATTTTATCGGTAATATCGACCACAAAATGGTTCTCTATAGCAGGAACTTCTTCTAGAATGAAACAAAATACCAAGATATTGGTGGTATACCTGCAAACGCGAAAATCGAGAGTTAAAACAGGACTTAAACCAGATTTTTCAGTAAATACAAATAAAGACCTTATTGGAGAACTACCTAGAGGACTATTTAACGGGCCTTTCATTTCATTCATTTTTATATGTCCAGTTTTTGGTTTACATAATATCTCAGAAGAAAAAAATACTAAACGTACGAAAACTTACCAAGTTTATACTCATTATAGCTAAAACAGGTCTCATATGTCCTAAGTCACAGATTGCATAATACGATCTTCACACTTGATTTTGTGATACAGTCAGCATTTTTTGCTTAGAAAAAATAAACGCGCAGTACTATTAGTACAGCCATGTAAAATAAGATTTTTTTCTTACTGCGACCACCAAAGCCATTGTATTATTTTCTTCAGCCTAAACCCGTTAAAGGAACTGAAGTATTACAGAATTGAAGTTCCAGACGAGACTTACTTTGAATGAAATATACTTTTTTCTGCTGTGGATGTGCACAAGAAAGGACTTGCAAACAAATACGTACAGATTTCTGAGGGCCTTACTAGAATGACGGACTGTAAACAACATAAATTTTCAGCATAAGGTTAATGTTATTATTAATTGATTTATTTTCCGATACTGATATAGCTGTTGACCATTTTTTATTTATCTTGAATATCAGTTATTAGGACAAACGAAGTCGGATCATGAAGCTAATGTATTAGTATAAGTAGTAAAGACAACTAAAAAACTGGTGTAATCCTTAGACATTAGTATAGAAACATTTCACTTTGTAAAACGAAATTATAGCATGTATCATGGACTAGTTCCCGATTTGTGTTCTTTTTTTTTCTTGTATTAATAAAGCATCTTTACATTTACCATATAATATTGAATAATTCCCATCTTGTATAAAAATTTTATTGAACATGTCATCTGAACTTGAAGTATTGAGACAACGCATTATTGAGCTTGAGGCTAAAAACGCCAAGCTTGAGGCTGAGAAAGCTGAGATTAAGGTTAGAAATGCTGAGCTTCTAAAGCAGGTTATGGAGGAGAATGTCAGGCGTAATGCTGAAATTGCAGAACTAAAGGCTGAAGTAGCGAAATTAAGAGACAACAATAAGGAGAACAAACAACAAGCCCAAAATGTTTCTCTCGAAGAAGTTGCCAATGTACATAACTTCACTACAGACCAATGTGATAAGGCCACTTTTCCACCATCTTGTGTGAGTGATCAGAAGCCATCAGAGGATAGAAAAATGGATGTTTTTTTGGATAAGATGCATAAGAAAAAGGTTAGTGATAGGATAAGGTAATACAATAAGGAGAAGAAACTTCTACTTGAGTCAGCCTAGGACTTATCTTCAGTTACTTCTGACTTATCACGCGAAACAGAAATGATCACTAGTGATCATCAGTAGGAAGATGCGAAAACTGTGACAAAATGTCACAATCAGAATAGTGTTTTTGGAGACTCTGATACTACCTCTGAAGTACCTGAATCAGAGAATCAAATAGTAGAGGGTTTAGTGCAGGAGCTGGCCTGTGTTGAATTCAGCTCTGTATCTTCGAATGAAGGTAGGGTAGGCATTGCTGAAATTAGTAAGTCTTGTATATAGGATATGGTTTCAGGCTCTGCATAAAGTTTATCAGACTTATTTGATAAAGCAATTAAAATGGGCCAGAAGCAAATTTTATGCTGGTTTTATTATTCTTTTGAATTCGAAAATAAGGTCAAAAACCTTACAGCGGATGGCAAGACTAAAGATAAAACAGCAAGATCGAAAATATATAAGAAAATGAAACCTCTTCTACCTAATATTACCGATGTAAATCTGCATAAGAAAACTGAAAGAACCCGAAAAATCCTTAAGCTCTTCAATGAAGGAGATGTAGGCATAGACAGGATTAAATATATTACATATAGTGCAAGTACCATCTCAGGACTAAAATATGCTCAAATTCAGTATATTATAAATCAGGTGACTTCAAAAACTGTGATAAAATGTCACAATCATACCACTTCAAAAAATACCAATAGTAATCAGAATAGTGCATTTATTCCTCCGAAAGCTGAGGTAAGTACATCAGCAAGTGTATTATCTTCATCTCAATCTAATCTAATTTATGATCGCACCTATTTTCGCAATAAGACATTGGGCCAATATCCTAATTTATATAGAGAATTTAGTAGTAAAAATTTTGATTATTATGGTATTACTGATGAGACATCTTGCAATTTCAAAAGGACTTGCCCATTATGCAATTTAGATCATGATGATAAGGAAAGTATAGATGGTAGATATGAAGCTGGATCCTATTTTATTAAATGTGAACAGTGCGAAATTGAGATAGTTGTATAGTCTAGGTCTCTCTGAGACTGCTTTATATTTGCTCATGTTTCATTATGATATTTTTTTACAGGGCTAATTTATGTCAACTATACTTACTGTAATTTAAATTGATTTGCAATTATATAAAAAGGCAATATGAGTAAGTCTGATAAAGTATTAATTCCTGAGTACCTAGATCAGCATACTAAATTAACTGGCTTACTAAGAGTTTTGACGAATAAGATCCGTTCTAACTTATACAAAAAATATAAAAGAGAAACGGGACTTGAGCCATGGCAATTATTAGAAGGTCACTTTCTCATAAATTCGAAGCCAGAAAACAAAGTATCTGATTTATCTTTTTCTGAGCAATGTGAAGAAAAAAGGCCTATCACCTTCGAAGCCAAACCTGATCCAGAATTAATTATCAAATTTGTCTTAGAACACTTCCTATACTTGAAATTCAGAAATAGTTTCAGGAGGATTGATAATTATAATTTTGCATCACCTCAGCCATGGAGCTCATCATATCCTATTTGCAATAGAAAATATGGGAATTACGGATTATATAGCGAATGGTATAGAACAGAATATTGTCTTACTTGCTTCATTTCAAGCAATAAATTCAAGTTCGCAATTGTGACTTAGACTGAAGAAATTATGAAGAAAAAATATTTGTATATTACTTTGTTTCTTTTTTTTGAATCACGTGGGTGGCTTAGACGGTCATGTGAATCGATCACCTAAAATGCTATCAGAAAATTCTTACTGGAAAAAGTCTGTATATGCATTGTCTCCAATACCATTCTAAAAGTCAAGATCTTTAATGCACATTCCGCATGTCCTTATTCTCGAACACAAACTTTTGACGTAAAGTGCATCACATATTTTTTCTATCTCCTTCCCTCATCATTAATTGCGAGTTAGAGAGAGCTTGAATAAGGGGAATGCGAAACATTTAAAAGGACGGTATAGGAAATTTATGTTTAGATCATTGAGAATTCCATATTATATCAATACATTTTTATTAACATTTTTTTTACTATGGAAAATTTAGTAGCTAAGATAGAAGAACTTTTAGTATGCGATTCATTAGATGCTCTTTGCAAGGTGTCTGTAGTTTATTTAACAATAGAGGATAACGTCTTGCTACCATATAATAAAGTATGAGAGTTAGTCGACCAGGCAGTCAATTCATCTTTGATAAAAATAGATAATCTTGAGCGAAAGACTAAGGTGTTAAAAATTTTACTGCAGGTTTGTAATAATTTTTTATATAGATTATTTGTTAGCATATAATGATGAAAATTACAGCAGATTATGAGCTGTATTTGGTTGGCCATTGCTGAAGATCGAGGAATGCCGGTCTGGAAGAGTGATATGTTCAGGAATATTTATTCCTCTATATATCGAGGATTTCTGCTCCTTTCTGACTATACGTAGTCAATTTAGCTAAATGATAAAGCTCAGAGATTGTTAGTATCTGATTACACGTGCAGAATTTAATGATATATACAGTATTTAGTAGCATATATTTATTCACGCGAATTCTATTTGTTGTAGATAGAAAATAAGTATAAAGCATTGTCAGTTTAAAAATAATAAAGGCGTTAAATACTCTCCAAGAAGCATCTCTAGACTATACGCAGGAAGAAATAGATCAAAATATCAGGGTATTAAAATTGAAACTTAGTTTTCCATTAACAGAGCTGGATGCATCTCTTTATGATAGCATCAAAAAAAATTTAGAAAGTATTGAATCTGATCTTACATAGCGTGATCTGGAGGTGAGCACAGTTCTTAGTGATGAATCTTCATTAGTGCAAAACTTGAAAATAAGACAGAAGCGTCATTTTTTGGTAAGTATATTTCAGTAAATACATAGCTAGAGACGCTACATATATTCTTGACTTTTATAAGGAATTATTATTTCTTTAAGAACCGCGTGAGAAAATGAAATGTGAACTTCCTAGAGAAATTATTTCCAAGTGTGAGGAGTTTACAAATAATTTTCACAGAGGACACATGCCAAATAATTTTAGAAATACCGTACATGACAAAATGTGGAAAGAGACTGATCCTGAATTGGAAAAAAGAATGGAACAGATACTTAGCGTACAGTAAGTTCTTCTATACTTCCTTGATAGTTATAATTCATAATGATTTTTATGTCACAAATTCATCAATAAGTTATATTTAGTGCAGAAATTTGGAATAACCCAGCATTTACAACTAATAAATCTCGTAGTAAGCAAAGTAAAGATACTTACGTTACAGATGTAATAGTATCACTATTTTGAGCTACATTAGGGGATTTACCAAGCAGATATATTTGCTTAAGCATGGCTGAACGGCAGAGTTTAACAAGTAAAGCTCGCAAAAATGCTAGGGCAGATAAAGAACAAATAAGAAAAAAACCTGACGTTATAGTATTAGACCAATATATGGATAAAATAATTAAGTTCACATATGTTGAGTGCTCACGTATTATATGTAGTACTACAAAAAAAGCTAATGACGAAGTGAAGCTGTAGAGAGAAACCTTAAATGACACGAGTTTTGTAAATATTACATATAGGTCAACTAGTAACCAATTTGGAATTGTTGGTGTTCAGGTTGCTGATATGACTATATATTTGAATGTTCTGATGAATGATGTAAGCAGAATTCCAAGGTATTTTCACCTTGACCATGCTGATATTCCTTTGGATTCTAATTCGCCAAAGCGTGTCAAGTCTCTTGTGTAATTATTATTAACCTTAAGAATATATTTGATAATTTCACATTATCTTCTATTTTTTTGTTTTAGTTTCATCATTAGTCGGCTAACATTCTATAATTGCAATAGAATATCCTAATAGTGAATAAAAGTTTACTTGCGCGAGCATTAGAATAAGCAATTTCAAATCCACCTCGAAATGCCCATCTAAGCCCTACCGTTTTCACACTACCATATAATAATTAGTGTCGTATTATGTAATTTAGTAAAATTTATTATAGAAATACTAGCTTATGAATTTTATACAACGCCTTAATGGCTATTTTTTCTATCGATAAAGTGACCTTAGTGGTCGATTTCACAAATATATATTCATATTTTTTTCGTGTGAGATGTATTCCAGATAATAAAAATTTTTCTGAAAATTTGAATTTATCACAAGATTCTTCTGATGGATTACCAGGTCTCGAAGGGAAGAAACAGCAGGTTCAAGAGTATAATCATGTATTTTAGTCTGCAGTCAAAGAATAAAGTGTCATCATATACCCTGGGCTAGTCCCGCATCATGTAATTTATTTTTAGCGGTCCCAGGACCAGGCTCAATATATTGTAAATAAAAAATATTTAGAGTACTAAGTGACTCGCAAAATATAGTCAATTATTTTTCTCATATGAGAGGTGATTGGTGTGATTCTTTTGGAATCTACATACTAATTTTTTATTTCTCAAGAGTATGCATATTAATACAGGGTAATTTAAAAAATCTATATCGGCTAATTATTGGGCAATATGATTTCCAGCGAAGATCTAGGGACTTTTATGTTTTGCGACAATCACAGCTCTTAACTGCGAAAGGGTCTTAATTATAAAAAGCTAGGTGAAAATCAGAGGCATCTGGTAAGAAAAAAAATCAAAAAATTGTGTATACCTAAATCAATTTACAATCTAATAAATTAATAAAATGATTCCCTTTACAGATATTTTCCTAATTACACTCTTCTGCACTGTAGTATTAATCTACGAGATGATATCTCAGAGTATTATAACTATTGAGAATCTCCAAGCTATTTTTTCAGAAAATTTATTCCTGTATATAATTTTTGCTAAAGCATTCATCTATTTTTGCCAACAATAGACCAGGAGAAATAATGGTCTTAAAAGATTAATACTGGCGCTAAATAATGAGCTTCAGAAAATATGTACTGAAAATGATTGGAGAAATGATGCTATTTCACAAGGTATGATTGAATTTTGCTTGTAAGTGTTTGGTAATCAAATAATTTCTCAGGATTAATATGTTAATTATTCTTCCTAGCTGGATCAAACAGATTTTCTTTGACAAGTCATGTAAGTTAGTATTCAGAATATACTGATGAAATACAATTGTACTTCACAGCCATATTTGATGAAAGAAGAAAAAGAGAGAAATGCTCTCCTACACAGATATACAATATACTATCTCAAGAAATCAAACTTAGTTCGTCACATTAGCCAGCTTCTATCGTCATCAGAAAATCCCAAGAACCACATTAATAGATAAAATAATTTCATGGATCAAAAAGGAGAGAAAAAAAAGAGTTAGTTTTGCTAATAATAGTAGTAGTAGTAGCAATAAGGGGCGTGCCAGAAATCAGCTGATTTTACTTTATTATAAAGCCAACCTCTCATCCCCACCTGATAATCAATTTTGATTGGCTAAAAAAATCATATATAAAATAGTTAAATTAAAATAGTTAAATAGTAAGTAGTCAAATAAATAAAAATAAAATTAATAAATAAAGTTATCATTCGATCCATAAGTTCCTTTTTGCTATTATTCTAAAATCAATATAAAAGAATTAAGACGCGATTTATTTGTATAACAATTATTTATATTATGCATTGAGGTGATGATTAATGCAATGTGATGTGTATGAAATCCTTGAAAAATCCATAGAAAAAAACGTGAAAACGCGCTCTTACATTTTTCTTTGCATTCTTTTTTTTCAATTCAATATGCAAAGTTTTTTGAAAACACCAAACTTTAACAAAAACTTTTTTTATAAGCAATCCCAAGATAAATATCAAGAATTTTGCAATACATATGCATATTACAAACAAGCAATACTTTGTGACCCTAAGCCAATTTGTCAAAGAATAATGCAAGAATGTATAGCAGCTTGAAAGGAAGTTAAAAAAATGATACTGCCTTTATTGAAAATAAAATTTAGGAATATTATGATACCACACCTTCCACTATTCGCTCTCATCAAAGAATTTTTATGTCATGTGATTCAACTAACAGTTTTCGTCAAATCTCCACTCCATCCACTCCATCCACTCCAAGACAGTTTGTTGATACTACAACAATACCACCAAATGCCAAATCACAATATATTGCAGCTGAAAAGATCAATTTAGCTGCAAAAAGCCTAGCTAAATATCAACGAATGATAGAGATCGCTACAGATGACTCAATGAAAGTTTTGTTATCGTCTAAGATAATTGAAGAATAAAAAAATATATCAATACAAAATGCATAACTAACAAAGTTAAAACGTCATGCTGAAGCTCAATCAAGGCTAGCAGCAAAAAAACAGAAATTGCTAGAAGAGGGTATTGTAGAAAAATATGATACTTCAGGAAAACCATTCGCAGCTATGAAAAATTCAGATCTATGGGATAAAATTCATGACAGTGTTGAGTTTGGAGCTACTCATGCTAAACGAAGAAAAGTGGTCATAAAAGTTAGGACTGTGAAGCATTTACGCAAAACTCTAGAAGAAAAATATAATACTTATCTATCTCGTCAATGCTTATCAACTTATCTTCAACTCTGAAACTAGCGCACCTTTGCTGCATGTCATTATTATCATCCAACAAAGGTTGGTCTTGCCTCTGTATCACAGACAGAAATGAAACCTCATATTGATGAATATTACTGTCTAGCTTCCGTCAAAGTCACAAGAGTATTTGCTGAAGCTTTTGCTGATGAGGCGATTATCATCTCTCAGGATGATAAAGTAAAGGTTGGATTGAGCATTCCCGTAGTTAGTCGCACGTTCAAAACAATCCAGTCAGTTAATGAACCAGAACTATCAAAGATCACGATTTTCCAACTGGTTCAAAAATGAAACTCATACCTTTCGTTTATTTAGTCATTAATCTAGCTGATTCAAGCAATACTCTTCGTACTGGTCAGCTTTTCATATTCATTAGGCTAAAATATTTCATTAGAACTTCATCAACAACCTATATAGTAGATTTAGAAAGTATTATTTCGAATGAAGAGTTTTCCACTACCCTAAAGAAAGAAGGCAAAGTTAGACCTATTTGGATTCTTCTTGTTGATGGTGAACCTGATGAAAACCTGAAGCATATGAAAAATATTATTCAATATGCTCACCTTTTCTGTGTCCTTGATCTGAACTACTTGACGATTTGTACTCATGCTTTAGGTCAAAGTGAGTATAACCCAGTCGAACGCAGTATGGCTTCTTTATCTGCAAAACTTGCTGATATCACTCTACCTGTAGAGGAATTCAGATCACATCTAAATAGTTAAGGAAAAGTAGTAGATGAAGAATTAGCATGATGGAATTTCGAATATTTAGGAAAAAAATTACATAATATATGGAAAAAGGATGATATACATGGTGTTATCTTACGATACTAACGACTGAAAAATTAGTATTAACGCAAGATTAACAAGGGGATTCAGCTTTATTCAATGC